TAAAAACAGCAACAACGACCGTCAAACGGCCCATACACAAGCTAGCAGTTCTCCCAATCTCGGAAAATGAAGAATAATCATCACTAGAACTGCTGATGACGGGCGGAATGTTCGAGAATGCGAGACCTATTCCTTTTTTTTCAATGCAATAAACATCTGGCAAGTAATATCGTGAAATTTGTATTTAGATTTCAAAACTTTCTTCCTCGAAATTATCAAGCACTAGTGTCATAAAACATCTGGAAAAACCCATAGTTAGACATCTGCATTTTCGTTCCGCTCGGTAACTACTTCAAGCATTCCTGTAAGCGCGCTGTCAACAAGTTGTAATGCTGTCACGAGAAGCGTCAGCGAAGCCCCCCCTCTTTCCGCTGCCTACATGCTGTCGCATGCGGCAGCAGCAACGAGAGGTTTTCTTGTCATGAAAACCAAGAGACGACTAGGCCCTTAATTATCTCAGAAGCCACAAGAAGCACTGCTCTCGCACTACAAGGGAGGAGTCTCTGATTGGACGAAAAATAAGAGAAGGGGATCAAGTCAAATTCATGATCAGCAAATGTATTTAAGGGGCGCAAGTTTCAATACTCATCACTCTTGAGATTTCTCTCTTAGTAGTACTCTCTCAATATAGTATATCCTTGATATATTTCATACTTTGTTAAGTTCAGTGAAAGTCCATTAACACTGTTACTGGAACGTAGTTACAAATCCTGCATGAACGACGACATACATCGTATGTCCATTAACGCAGTTCAAGATCCGTCATTACATGTTCAAAAGGAGCGACGACTTCTACTTCTTCGGATTGCCCATTAACACGTTCAAGCAACAGTAGTTACAAGTCCCAGAAGAACGACGACATAAACGTATGTCCACTAATGCAGTTCAAGAAACCGTCGTTACATGTTCAAAGGGAGCGACGACAATCCGCATAACAGAGTCCGGAGACGAGTCAACGATTAGTCTTCGTAAGTAGTATTATTACTACAATAATTACATATATATTGACATTCAGAGTATCACATCGACAAGCAACTAAGGGCGAAGAAGCTCCTCCTAGAACGACAGTGCGGAATAAATTCCAGTACGCGTCGTCAAGTTCGCGCCCGCAAAAGGGGCGTCCCTTTCGGCAACCCTCAACTTAGTTCAAGTTCGGAAGCTTATGAAATTGTTATGTTGTAATGTACAACAACACACAGCGCGAGTGTCAACGAACGAAACTTCGCGCCATTCGACATTCGTATTCAAGAATCAAGCTGGATAGATTACTGTACGTTTGCCTCTGCAAAACATTAATTCAACCCAAGAGTCGATCTATAATTAATAATAGTAATAATAGTCAACCTTGTCAACAATAAATAACAGAATAAAAAGTAAATACTTCAGCCACATTTATATTGTATTATTGTAATATCCCTTCCACTTGTGACCTTTCATCGCTACCACACAACACCTGTGGTCTCTGAGTTGTCAACGGCATCAAATTGTATCCGTCAGACCGGCCTTGATAAAACAAGTCGGAGCGACGAATTGCATTTTGTACAATTACCGAGCGGAGCGAATTCGTACATATGCCTAACTGAGTGGGTTTGTCCGTGTTTATTGTATTGTTTTTCCAGATGTTTAATGACACTATTGCTAGATAGTTGCGAGCAAGAAAAAAGGATTGCATTGAAAAAAGTGAAAAGTTGAAGACACTGCTAATGAGAATTAGGCCGGGGTCTACTAGTAAATATGATAAGGTAGACGTAGGTGATGAGAAATAGGCGAGGATTCACGAAAAGTGTGAATAATATGCTGGAGATGCCAGTCTATGTCGTCGTCCTCAATGCGGTCTGACTAGCGTGACGTTGCGAAGGACGTACCGATAGCTGGCCAGCAATAATAATAATCGAATAATCAATATATATAATAAATATATCTTGCACGAAATCCTTCAGACGAGTTTGACCTTCACAGATATGTTTCATAGATATAATTTTTGCAGGATTTAGTGAATTTTCTGGAAGCAAGCTTTAATAAATTCGAGAAGCTTCTTTTGTTGCTATGCGGACAAAGTGTGCGGCTAAATTTCCAGTGAATTTTTGTAACGTACAATTCAAATATTGCGCCTTAATCTAAATATAATGTATCGGAATCGTATTATAACAAACAATAAATTGTTATTTTTGTTGGGTGGTTCAATCCTGAACAAATTCATAAGCAGAGTAAATTAATAATCGAACTCATATATATTACATTATACCTTTCACCCCTACCCTTGGTGCCTTCTTTCTTCTAAAAATCGCTATTAATCCACTGAACTATTAAATTAGCAGTTCGAGCCATAAATTAAAACGTTAACATTTGAATAGACAGCTATTATCTATTATGTTTATTACTAATTAATGTTAATTATAATATTGTCGAGCTCTTAGAAATGTTGTAAGTATTTATGTATTTCATGATAAAATAAGTAAATGATTATTGTATTGTTTGTATGATATTAATATTTCTTCACATCAATGAATTTTAAGATTTCAATCAATATTAAATTAAATAATTTGTATTAAGTGTAGCCGATTTTATTTCTAGAATTCAATGATTCAACTGATTTAATTTCAATAAATTTCTTATTAATTGTACATTGATTAGGAGGTGTACCTTAGCATATACAAAAATATAATATCTAATCAGTAATAATAGTTCTGTTCGAGAGTGGAAAGAAAATCTCTCGAATTATATTTACTAGAAAACCTTCAACAGCTAATAAAAAGGGAATTATCAAACGGATACGAAAAACTAAGAAAAGTATCGCCAAGGTTGCATGATACTCAAAAAGGTTTGTACATCTGTGAACTCGTAAACAGCCATTTTAGGCCTTTCATATTAAAGACGTAGTAATTGTTTTGAATGCAATGAAGACCCGTGCGACTTACCTTCAAATCCCGGCTAGCTTGTTTACAAGAGTATATTTTGAGGATTAAAATATTTCTAATCAGTTAAATGAAAACATTTCTTAAAATCCGTTGCAACCCGAAACTCGGCACGCGCGACTCTCGACATTTGCGTCGCATGTGTGCTTTCAATGCCACAAGGGCATACGCATGCATTGTTGTCAAGTACGACAACTGTAGCTGCTTGCATAGGCCAAGCGAAGACGCTTGACCAAAAATCACCCCCACCACGATGAGTCCCGGAGAGGGGCAAATCTTCCACTTCACGAATTGCTGCCAGAGATACTCCTTCGATATTCTCTTTGTCTAAGCCTAATTTATTATGAAGTGGGAAAAGAGCGTGCACATTCATCATTTCGCCGAAAAGCGGCGCGCCCTGATTGGAAAACTAAGACCAGAAGCCCTTTGAGTGAGGACTCATGGCAAGAGGCCTTAAAGATGGGAACAAGACAGTGAAGACAAGGCAGTTCGCGGGGGATTATTGGCATAGAGTCTGCGTGGGCAGCCAAAGAGCTGTCCGCGTGGGCAGCCAAGTATCTTTCTTCTTCAAAGGGCGAAAAATCATTCAGAGTAAGAGTGAGCAGTCTAGGGAAAAGTCAAGTTATAGAAATTAATTGTCCAAAAAAGCCAAGCCTAAAAATTCACTCAATACAGAAATAAGTGCTAGTAATTCGCCACAAGAATAGTGCATGCTGGTGAGTAAAGGAGTCACGCTCCACATGAGTCGTGTCCCTCTCACCGCAAACGCAGATCGCCAATAGTTCATGCTGGTGAGTAAAGGAGTCACACCGCACATGATTCGTGTCCCTCTCGCCGCTGATTCAGATTGAATTACGATATCGCTGTAAGTACGTTGATACACGTTTTCTCTTCAATTATTGTCAGCCGGCAACAGAACCGGCCATAAGACAATCATCAAGATTATCTCACACTCTCCACTCAGAAGTGTGCAGCAATTATTTACCTGTGCAATTTACATCAATTAAATGATTTCAAGGCATCTTGTATAGTGACCCCTCCTGTATAAGAAGCCGATAAAGAATACATATCTTCATATAAGATACAAGAAGATTCTACAACATCCATATGTAAATAGTGTAATAAATTGTATAATAAATATAATTAACCAACTCTCACGACTCTTGTACAGCCCCTACATTTCACCCCTTCCCGAGCGTCTGCTACGGCGGCCGGAAAACTAAGCTATTGAAGCATTGGCAGTTCGAGCCAAGAATTACATCCCTACAATATTTCGAACAAGTTCTTAACTCTTGTATGAGACTTGATATGTAGATGTTTTTATTTGTCAAATTACTTATTTATTAATAATTATTAATAATATTTATTTTTCGTTGGCGATTGTTTTCTTTGTGTACAACAAACTCAGGATAATAAAAATATTAGGAATAGCATGTAGTAATTAATAACATTTTTGGTTTTGATGCTTTCAATGCAAGGCTTTAATATAGTTTTTTAAGAATATTAAACTTTTGTACAACTAACAATATGCTTCCTTAATGTACTTTAATCTATTATGAATTGTATTATGTCTTTTATGATTCATTGTTGGTTATTTTAAACGTTATCATTGAAAACTATTTACAGAATATTTTATTGAACATTAATGAATATCACAATTGAAATTATGATTACAACAAAAAATTATTAATAAGGCAGTTTATTTCATATGCGTAAACTTTTCTTATTGATTATATTAAACAAATATATGAATTGGTATATCAAAGTTGCCATAAAGTTACTACTAAAGGAAAATACATTCACTTAATTAGTAAATAATTTTGATGTATGATTTTTTTAAGTGGTTTACAAGTGTAATTAAAAATAAAGTTAATAACAGAATTAATAATTAAGTAAATAATAATTAAGTAATTTATTAAAAATATCAAGAAAAACAAAAATTATATGACATTAAGTTTTCATTGCTTTCATACCATAATGTTTATAACATTTTTTTCTATTAAAAAAAAAAAAGTCCTAAAGAAATTGAAAAACTAATATTTAAATTTACATATATTATATATTTTAATATTGAACGCGTTTTACCTATAGGATCACAACTGTCAGTTATTATTACGTCGAATTCGTTAGTATGTTGTTTAACAAATTCATAACCATTACCCACATATAAATTAACTTTAGAATTTGTAAGTCCTTTAGCCATGAATGGTAAAAATGTTTTAGATATTTCGATCACTTTTTCATCAATTTCAATTTGAATAATTTTTTCAACGCTAGAAAATTTAGCTACTTCACGTGCGACACCACCATCGCCACCACCTACTATTAACACCTGAAAATTAAATAATATTATATATAATAAATTAATAATATATATATAATTTATAGCTTATATATATAAATATATATATATATATATAATTTACAGCATCCAATATAAAATAAAAAATGAAAAATGAAAGAAAATAAAAAGATGCGTTGAACCAATAAGAAAAGAAACGAGTAAAAGCATGCATAAATCTCAAATAAAATTTTCATAGATTTATGCACGTGTTAATTATGCTAAGTAAAGATTATTATGATAATATTCTGTATCCACAAATATCAATCGCATTAGAATATTATCACAAAAATTTCATGCCACATTCAATATAACCACAATAAGATCAAATGAAATGCTAATTATAAATTAACGAAATTATTAGACGAAGAAAAAATATATTTATTCATACAAAATTAATATATATTTAAGCATTTTACTTTATTATAAATTTATTTTATCAGTGCTTTATCTTTTATTCTTTATGATATTGCTGATAACTTATAATAATTAAAAAATATACAATTATAATATTTGTTCGAGAATTCCGTAAAAAAAAGCGAACTCTCGACTACTTGAGGAATAAACATTCAAAACGCGAATCGGATTAACTAAATATAAAAAATTCAGCAAAACGTCGAATATCAAAAGAAAATACAATTTATAAACACATCTGGCGAAAACAAAGGTCCAAGTGTCCAGCAAAAAGCCGTCATAAAACTAATGCTACGAGACATTTGACACGGCCTCGCCACAAAGCATCTATTGACGACAAGTCATAATACTTCTGGCATAATCAAGTCATAAAAATATAAGCAAAAACCACCTCGTCTTACATCCGAAAAAGGGATATTAAAGGCAATACTGCACGCATTCGCTGTTGTCAAACCCAGCTACATGTGGCTCGGATAGTGAAACGAGAACATGCCAAAGAAGTCCCCCTCTCATGGTGGGAATGCAAGTAAGAAGCGCTCTGATTGGAGCCGCCAATAATGAAAGGATCAATTCGATTGGAGACGCCCAAAAAGAGGCGCTCTGATTGGAAATGCCAAGAAGCAGGAAATTCATAAGGACCACGCGGTGACCGAGAATGCCTTCAAGAAAGACACCTGCAAGGCGCACGAGAGTCGCTTTTCACGAGAGAAGCCGGCAAGGCTTCTTCTACAAGGGAACACCAAACAAACAAGGATGTAGACATACACAGTAAAGTCCGATCAAGAGGCAAAGCCTAGTCATATCCAACTCATAACAAGTGCAAGATAAGTGCAAATCAAATCATACACTCGCAGCAGTGCAAGACAAGGAAAAAGGAACAAGTAAACAGTGGTACACAAGGCACAACATAATCACAACCTATAAGGAGCCGTTCGAGCCAAACTCAGCAAATAATACGAGGTATAGCCAGAAAAACACAAACATAAACTACAAGCTACCGCACGAGGCACAACCTGCAGACATCACTAGCTGCCATTAAGAGCACAAAATCTGCAGAACTCACAAGGTAAAAGTTCGATTCCTTAATAACGATAATAATACACAATATGCCTCACAAGGT